ATTCGGGGTCTTTTCTGATTCCATACAAATTTTAGGATTGTTTGTTCCAGCACCTTGAAAAATGTCATTGCAATTTTGATCGGGATGGCATTAAAGGTATAGATCACTCTGGGTAGCATAGACATTTTTAACAATGTTTATTCTTCCGATCCATGAGCATGGAATATTTTTCTATCTTTTTGTGTCTTCTTCAATTTCTTTCATGAGTGTTTTGTAGTTCCTAGAGTATAGATCCTTTACCTCTTTGGTTAGGTTTATTTCGAGGTATCTTATGGTTTTTGGTGCTATTGTAAATGGAATCGTCTGCCTGGACCTTTGAGGCTTTGTGGGGATTTACCCCACATGCTGTAGGGTCAGGCACTAGGGTCATTCCACCCTGCTCTAAACCCTGAATGCCCTTTTCCTAAATGGAAAAATGCAGCCCCAAGCCAGGGACTCCGTATAGGGGATAAAGGTATCTGTGGGCTTGGGAAACTCCAGATATAGGCTACTTGCCCCATAAATTCCAACTGCCATCTCTGCTTTTTTGTTTTCAGAAGCAGGAGATTGGATTTACTTTCTTTATGGCGATTCCTATCCCCTATCTGCCCCCACCCCCACAACCACACATATTCACACAGCAACACACACCCACACAGATATTGGAGGGCCACTTCTGGGTAACCCATCATCCCCTGCATCCCACGAAGGAGACAATTGCCAGGGCCCTCTCTTAGAGAAAGGAGTTTCCTGTGAGATCCTTTCAAATTTGGACTGGGGGCCAGGGCCAGCCTAAGTTGGAAAATGAAGGTATTATCATAAGCACTCTGAGCAAGAAGAGCCAGAAGCATCAAAGTGCCCAGCCTTCATTTTACTGATGAAATGGTGGCCCAGACAGGGATCTGGCTTACCCAAGACCATGCGGCACCTCCTGGTGCTCAGTGCTGGCTTTTGTGCTGCACCCTCCATGGGCTCCCTTGTGCCTCCAAGCACTAAATGAGGGAGAGAAAAGCCTGCAAAAAGGAGGTAGGCACTTGCCTGGTGACCCATGGGGCCCTGACTGTTTTAGGAGTCCAGGGAGGAGGCTACAAGGGAACACCCTTGGGAACTCTGACCAGCAGACTCTCTCCTGCCTGGCTGGCTGTGTACAGTTGTCTTGAATCTTCTTGGAGGCCTGTGGACACTTTCTGCTCCTCTCCCTTCCTATTTCGTCCCGTTTGGGTATGGATACCACTCACTTTTCTGTGGGGTTGGGCCTGCAACCTTGGAGTGGTAATGGGGAGTGACCTTTATGATCTTTTCATCCAGGCTCCCACCCAGGGCAAGAATGCCCTCCCCTTGCCAGCCCCCCTAACAGCCAGCCAATGATGCTTGAGCCCTGCTGGGGCTGGGAACTCACCACCAACCAGACGAAGGGACCACACATGGGCCCAGATCATTCCCTGTAATGCAAGTGCCCTATGCTGGTGAAGTCCTAGGGGTGCTGAAGCCTACAGCTACACCCTGCTCACTTCTCAAACACCAGCTATATGTCAACAACACAGCCATACTTTCTTTTTTTAAATACAGTCTTCTGGAAAAAAATAAAATAAAATGAAGTCTGTAACTATGGACCTGGTGCTGGGCCTCACTGCGTTCATGTCAATCTACTCCATTAATCATCATGTACAATTTTTCGAAGAGCTATTTTGAGAAACATTGGAAAATGGCTTTTACTGAGCTATATATACCTTATTTATACTCCAGAAATGGTCGCTGTGTTTAGCAGCAGATAGGTTTTTCCCCGCTGTTTTCTTTTCATCTCTTAGTCAAAGTTAAGTAGGAAGAAAGCCCATTCCCTAACCCCAGGCACACATTTATCACCCACAGTCGACCTTGGAGTCAGGGTCATGGGTGGGTGGTTGAGAGGAGTGGGTGTGGGTTTCTTGTAAGGCACGATCCAGAGACCCCAAGGGGACAAATACAGGAGGCATGGCGGCTGCTGAGAGGCGGGGTTCTGCAGCCTGGCAAGGAGCAGGACCCCTGGGGGTGGGGTGTGCAATAGAATGTGAACGCCCTGGCTTGCTTTTCTCAACACCACGTGGGCATCTCAAGGTCCACAAAGCATATGCCAAGAGCATCACATTGATATCCAGAGAACAGGAGCCAAAGGAAGACCCACCACCCTGGCCCTGCCCCAGTGCTGTATCTTTGGCCTACAGGAAGCAGCAAGTTGGCCCTGCGCAGTTGCCATGGCAACCAGGGTGCTGCAGCTCCTAAGGGCAAGGGGAGCAGAAGGGAGGTGAAGGCACGTGGTGATTTTTTTCTGGAAAAACCCATCTGTTTCTTTTCCCCACAAAACCAAGCTGGGGGAAAATGGGTACCTGGGGTCTAGAGAGAGAAGAGAAAGAAGACTCCAAAATGCTTCAAGAGCAGCTTTCCTGACTGGATGTGCTTCCTTTCCTGTTGGTGGAGGCAAGTCGCTGACAGAGACAAAGGGTTAGGCAGGCTGTGGTGGAAGCATCCAAGCAGGAGCCCATGTTCAGGATTCGGGTAAGTCCTATGACCTCATGCCTGCATGGAGCAGGCCTAGAAGGACTCTTATCAGCCACAGCAAGATTTCTTTTTGGCAGGGCGGTCAACCTGTATTGTGTCCTCCCTCGCTGTATCTTCTTGTTTCTTGAGGATCCTGGGAGAGGAGAAGGTATAGTGTCAGCAGTGGAGAGCTGCTAGGTCCTTTGGTTATAGGCCATCTGGATGATAAGGATGGAACTCAGCCTCACCAGAGCATCAGTGTATTCAGTCTCCCCCGGGGAAGTACAGGTACGTAACCATAATTTGTAAAGACGTTTAGTCAATATGGATCCTTCATGACACCTCTTCCAAGAAGCCTCCCCTGATTCTCCAAGTGGTGAAAGTATCCCTGACAGCATTCTGACCATTCCTCTGTTATAACTGGATCACCCCATGTCAGAATGAACTGCTTCCCTGGTTGGCTCCCTCAGGCGAGAAAGCTGCTTGAAGGCAGAAACTGTATATTTTGTCTCTCTGTCTCTGTAGCCTATCATAGTACCTGGCACACAGTAGACACTCAAAAAATATACTTTTTGGTTATTAACTCTATAGAAGGTCTGTCCCATGTTGCCACAGTTCCAGATTAAATGTAGGAGGTGAAGGATTAAAAATAGTGCTAAGTATCTTATCCCTGCTTTATACTCTCAACGTGCTTTCACCTTTAGCATCTCTTTTGATATTTACAACAACCTGAGTCAACAGGGATGGTATGATTGATGTTCCTATGTTAGGAACAAAGCTCAGAGAGGTAGACTGACTTGGCCTAGGAATCAGTGTCAGAGAAAAGCCTACAACTTTCCCCATATTCTTCCATAACTCCACAACCTCTCCAATGCATATATTGTTCTGGATAGATGGATAGGTGAGTGGACGGATGGGTGGATGGGTGGATGGGTGGATGGATGGATGAATGCATAGGTGGATGGTGGATGGGTGCGTGGATGGATTCATAGGTGGATGGGTGGAGGGATGGGTGGATGGGTGGATGGGTGGATGGATGGGTGGGTGGATGGATGGGTGGATGGATGGATGGATGGGTGGGTGGATGGATTCATAGGAGGATGGATGGATGGGGGGATGGGGGATGGGTGGGTTGATACATTCATAGGTGGTTAGGTGGATGGGGGGATGGGTGGATGGGTGGATGGATTCATAGGTGGATGGGTGGATGGATGGATGGATGGATAGGTGGGTGGATGGATGGATGGATGGGTGGGTGGATGGATGTATTCATAAGTGGATGGGTGGATGGATGGATGGGATGAAATGAATGCCTATAAATAAGTGAATAAATGAGTGAATGTCCAAGTATTGAGAAAGGATCCTCTATGGTTTTGTTTTGTTTTTTTTAAATTTTGGTATAGGTAAAGGCTTATGAAAACAGTCTTTTGGTGGAACTAACCCTTTGAGTACTGTCCCCTTGGTGCCTCTAGTTCCCCCCAAAGAGCCCCTCCTCTCCCTGGCTTCTCCACCCCCTCCCCTGGAGCCCATATTATAACTGTTGTTGTTTCCAGCTGGCTGCCAACTAATCCCTGCTAAGATATTAGCCAGTGTTCAGGGACCTGTGATATGACCTTTCCCGGAAGCATTTGCATTTAAAAAGAAGATCCCTGGGAAAAAGGCAGGTTTTAAGATGCAGAAGAAGACTACAGTGGGGGTGAGAGGCAGGGAGGCTTTCTTTTTTGTCCTTATTGTATTTCAGAGGGCTGTCCCTGAATCCCACACAAAGGCCTAGGCCTCCAGCCCTTTTACCCAGAAGGCTCAGGCAGACAGAGGGAGTATGGTCTGCACAGAGGTGAATGCAGTGCTTCCCACTGGCCCCTGTCTGCTGTGATGTGCTTCTTTACCTGGCAAGATGGAGCAGGGACTCTTTGGTGTTGTGACCGGAATAGGCACTGCATTCGTAGAAGATCAGATTGTTCTCCTAGAATCATAAAACAGAGGGGACTGAAAGAGTACTGGGGGAGCTCAACGGAGCCATGGGAGGTGGGAGAACACCCTGTCTGCATCTACCCACATCCCTCACTTCCCCTTGCACACCCCTTTCATTCCTCTCCCCCTCCCCACTCTGTAGGAGGAGGTTGATTTTCCTCTCCTCAGGCTCCTTGTCTACGGCAAGTTCTGTACCGTCTCCCAGGTGAGCTATAACAATTGTAAAACACAAAACAGTATGCTGCCTTAGTGCTTTACACTTCCCCAAATTGCTCGCAGGTATGTACATGCTCGTTTCCTTTTCGCACCAGCCTACAATGCAGGCAAAGATACAAAGGCCGGGATGGGCCATGTTCTTCCCACTGCACAGGCAGGGAAACCAAGGGCCTGGTGCAAATGGTGGGTTTGTTCATTCAATGACTTATGGAGATAATGGCGGGGATTTTCCCAGGACACTGGCATTCCTCGACCCTTGGGGCAGATGTCACGAAGGCACTCCAGTAGAAAATCTCCTTCACATCAGTTAATTAATATTCCAGCTGCCTAGGCCACAGGACAACTGTCCATCACTTCAGTAGGCAGAGGCTGTGCTGCTCTTGGCCAAGGCTCATCATTATATCCATTTATCATTCCTGTTAATAGATTTCCTGTTTCCTCAGGACAGTGCTAATGGCACGGAGGGCTGGAGGCTGATGCCCTGTGGGGATGCAGGCAGCTCAGTAAGGACACTTCTGCTGTGGTTTGCAGATCAGCAGACTCTGCAAACACTGGCTCCCAGTTCAGCTTTCCTGATTCACACCCCAGGGGCCCCGCTCCATCCTCTGTCCTCTTCACCCAGCCCCCGTCCACACTGCTGCTGGAGCCTGACACTGGGTCAGTCCGTGGAAGAATAAAGGCTCCATGGTGGGGGGAGGGAGAGTAAATAGGATCTAGAATTAGAAGACATGATTCACCTTCCAGCTGGCTTCCTGACTCCACCCCTGAGGACCCGTGTGATAAACTGAATCAATCACAACTTCTCTGAGCCTTGTTTTTGTTTGTTTGTTTGCTTTCAACGGGCCAAAAAGAGACAAAAGGAAAAAATGGATGATAAAAATACAGGTCTGCAGTTCATTAACCAAAATCCTTGGATCCAGATGGACTTTGGAATCCAGAGACTTTGAGTTTCAGAGAAATAGCAGATGTATATACCGTATATTGTATTACCCTCCGTGGGTCTGGGACAGCACCCTATAATCAAACATACTAATATTTCTTTGGTGAAACATTTGAAAAATTCATTCGAGCAAGGTAAACAAAGACCGTAAGTAGCTTCCCGTCAGTTCTGGTCAGATTTTTCTGCCAGATGAGATAGGAGAAACCTTTCTGTTGGCAGAGCTCTTTCAAATTTCGGTATTGTGGATAAGGGAGGGCAGAGAGACAGCTACCTCATCACCCTTCTTCCTCCTTTTCTCCTTGACCCTTACCATCTGTGCCCATTTGCCCAGCCTTGGGGGCCATGAGTCCCTGTTTACAGCAAGCACACTAAAAAGTATGGAATCCTGGGGCTGGAAAGCACCTCCATCTTCCCAGAAATACAGTTCCCTGAAAACCACTCGGTGGCAGGAGAAACAGCTGAGGAGAGAGCACTGTTTGCTTTCTGATTTCCATCAAGCCTCTTAGGTCCCCAGCTTGGGCAAGAGGGCCAATGCTTATTTTATTTTATTTATTTTTTATTTTTATTATTTTTTAAAGATTTTATTTATTTATTTGACAGAGAGAAAGGGAACACAAGCAGGGGGAGTGGGAGAGGGAGAAGCAGGCTTCCCGTGGAGCAGGGAGCCTGATGCGGGGCTCGATTCCAGGACCCTGGGATCATGACCTGAGCCGAAGGCAGACGCTTAACCGACTGAGCCACCCAGGCGCCCCCGATGCTTATTTTAATGCTACGTTTTCGAGTGCATGCCCTGAGTTTATCTCAAGTTCATAGCCTGGGGCTCAATCTTGATAGAAGGGATAAGCTCTCTAACAGAGCTGTTCGAAGAAGAGCAAGCTGCCTTACAGATAGCGAGTGTTTCATCCCTGGAGGCGATCAAGTGGAAACACAGCAGAGATTCGAGTATCAGATAGGGGATTTAAATAAGTAACCTCTTACTATCTAAGAACTTATCATTCTGAGCCCCAAGGAAGAGAGTTTGGGAAAACTCCCCATACTCTGGTCATCCCCAGCCAACTCTATCTTGTAATGTGTGGCTTTCTATAGAAAGTTCCATGTGCACAGGAGTTGGGCCATTCCCATGACGCCAGGACACCCACCTTGCCCACTTGCTTGCTTCCCAGGGGGTTTCCAGAGAAAGCTCCCGCCAAGGCTCTTGGGCACAGGCCTGACTGCCTTCAGGGTCCCACCCTGTCCAGAGAGATGGAAACGTTTCCTCTTTACCTTGGCAAGCTGCTCTCCGAGGCCTCGTGGAACTTCCCGCTCTTCCTCGTTGTCAATTTTATTGCCCAGCAGAAGAACAGGGATGTAGTCTCCCACAGCTTCCTGTAGAACAGATAATCCCCCAACTGAGAGAAGCATCCATAAGGAAAGCCCAGAAGGGCAGGCTTAAAATGCTGGTGGGAAAGATACAATCTGGCTTGCGAATCCCCTGCTGCCACAACAGGCCAGGCGAGAATATAGTCATCCCAAAAGCTGAGAAGGAGCGTCACCTTCTCCAAGGGCCTCAGTTTACAAGGCTTCTGCAAGGTGCCTCAGGCCTGCCTCTGGGTGCCTCCCAGATTCGGCTGTGCAGTGACCCCTCCCTCCTTCCCCACTCATCCCTGCTGGATGGGACATGCAGGCTCCCCCAGGTGTGCTGTGGGTAACAGGATGAGGGGACAGTAGACGTCAGTGAACTATGTGTCCTTTTCCACGGCTGATAGCGTCCCTGAAAGCACTCCTAAGTGACCAGACTTAGTCTAAATGAACCAGAATGAAGCAAAGGAATTAATGCAGTGAGCTTTGGAGCAGTTCTAGGGGCTGCTTTGATTAGAAGTGGCATCTCCAGGGGCCTCATATGGGGCACATAAGCTCCCTGAGGGTTGGGTCCAGTTCTGATTCATGGTTTTGGGTCCCCAGCGCCCAGTCTATGATTGTTGTATACGGAATTGGAGGTCACCACGCGGGGCAGTACAGATCCCTGTCATCGGGTGCACTGAGGCCTGCGTGGGGAAGAGCTCGGTGGCCACAGAAGCTCCACTTCTCAGCCACAAGTAACAGGCGTATTCACGGGGTCAACTTTCTTTACTCCCCCGGTGACTGTGGCATATCAGCCAGGGGCCCACACCCCCGAGTCTCTGCACCCCGGGGTGTCCTCCCTTGCGAAATGTGTGTAGTTCACGTGCCTCTCAGGAGGGCAAACAAAGGGCCCACGGTGCGCAGCTATTAAGTGAGTAAATATGATAATATTCACATGTAAGCAGGTTGTTATTTTTACTTAGTGAGGTATTTAACTAGGGGCTTTTAATAATAATTTGGTAACCAATAGTTATTCATTGTAGCTAAAATGTTTTACTAAATAGAGAGGGTTGGGGGATGATAGAAACCAACAATTGCTTACAGTTTTGCCAAGAGTTTAGCCACTGGATCTAACCACTTCAAATAAATGTCCCAAGTCCTTCCAATTGGTTCACATGTTTTCAGTTTGAATGCAATTGTATTTGAGATTAAGCCTCCATGGCTCCTTAATCTACACATTCATTTTTATTGCAGTTCCGTAGTGAAAAAAATTCTCATTTACTCGATGAGAACGTTAAGGCTCAGAGAATCCAAAAGCACATTCAATAACAAAGTCACCGAGTTACGAGGACCCTTTAGTAGATGGGTCCACAGTTCTCCAACATTTTTCTCTAAATTCTGATTTCCAGTGAACTCTCTGCTATTTTTTTTTTTAAAGATTTTATTTATTTATTTGAGACAGAGAGAATGAGATACAGAGAGCATGAGAGGGAGGAGGGTCAGAGGGAAAAGCAGACTCCCTGC